GGGGGGGCATGGGAAGAGAGAGTGGTTTGCCCCGCTTGCTTGACAGGCACGACCAGATACCGCCCGCTCGCTGCCTTGTCCGTACCTTTGTCAGTAGTCGGCGGGCGCCCGGCGTGATCCCGGACGACCGCGAATCCAAAAGGGTGAGGGGGGAGCTACGTTCGATTTAACAAGCCTCTTGCTCAGGAATGAGGCCCCCTGGTGCCGGATGTGGAGGGGAGATAGAAGAGGAGGGGGGAGGGGGGTGATAACACGAGGATCAGGACGTCTTGCCCGCGTCACTGGGGATCAGTCAGGATATCGTGTTCGCGCGCTGTTTCTCTTCACATTGGCCAGACGCTGTTTCTTATACTTTTTTTTTCCACGTGACGCAAGGACGTTTCTTCACTTACGGTTTCTCATATTTCAACATGACGCAGGCCTCATGGCCTCCGGCTTTCTTTCTTTTTTTTTTTTTTTCGCTGAGGGCTAGTTGTTAGTAAGTAACTGCGCGTTATACGTATTTTTCCGTTTGACGTGCGAAAAGAGTGGCGCGCTTTCTCGGAAGCGGCAGAAGAGAGGTTGGAAGACCGGCTGCTGTCGGGGCGGCGACAATTACTTTACTGCGAAGCGCAAAGCCCCGCTGCGTATTGGGGGCGTTGGGCCCCGGGCCCCGGGCCGGGAGGCCCCGCGGGGAGCAGGAACACTTAGTTGTCGCGGCCCCAATGAGTTTTGTGGGTTTCCAATGCTTTTGGCTCGGCGCGGCGCGGCGAAAGGCGAGGAGGGAAAGTGGCGATTTATTTCGTCTAGACAAGCCGTAATTACCGGGCCGGGGCCTGCCTGCTCGGCCTGCTTAATAATCATGAGACTTGTAAAGTGAGCCGGTTGCGATTTGCATGTCTTCTCTGCGCCTCTCCCGCCCGCTCCGGGAGAGTAGTGTCGCGGGCCTCTGCTGCCGCTGCCGCTGCGGGCGGCTGTTCCTGCACCTCTCGCTGACCGACTCGCACTTTAAAAACGTGTAACAAAGCCGAGGGGTGAGCAGAGTGGGGGGAGGGGGGGCGTAGCTGTTGCTGACACCAGTCGGCTAATGGTGCCTGTCTTTTTAATCCGATGCTCGTGTTGCCGCGTATGGTCCTGA